AAGAGAGATAGCTGGGTTGTCAGCTCATCAAACTGATTTGATGGCGGGGCAGATTCACGTACTGGTCATTAAAATAGTTTACCAACTAAAGAAATTATCGCAATTATCTCTGGCTGGCCATGATCATGCTTCATTCATCAACTAACTAGATTATATCTATAAGAGAAGTTCCCAGATATTTGACATGTACACCGCAGTCAGAAATTACACCCCAATTGGCCATAAATTGCGGAGAAGCAATCTTGAGGCCAAAAGGGCGACACAAATTCTAGCCAATTCGCTACCATATTTACTCATCGCATTCAAATGGCAGAGGAAAACCCGGGGAAAAGCCAACAAAGAAATTGTATGGCATCTGGCGGAAATGAAGGATGAGCCAGGGTAGAAGCATCAAATTACTTGGTTTGCTAGCCGAAGTGGTTAATATCAGGCTTGGCTGGTTCAGGCGTGGCCAGTTCGGAGGCGGTCTAAGCCAATTTGTCGCGTATTGTGCAGTTTATAAATAGTTGAGATGTTGTTTTTCGGCTCTTCGAGTGCTCAGGATTTATTTATTCAGGATTTGTCTGTTGATGAAGTGCATTAGGAGGAGTCTTTGGATGGAATTAAAGGAGATTTAAGAGTTTTCTTTTATTTATTGGAACAGTAAGAATATTAATAATTCCTTAGTTAAGTTAAGGTTTTTAAGCTAAGACATTTGTAAATTTATTTGTATATTTAAGCAGAAAAAATAGTTTAAAACTGTCATGACTGTTAAAATTGTAGACCCCAGAGGACACATTGCCAGCTAGACTTGGCCATCCATTACCAATGTTTGCAGACTATCCAGTTGAATTATTCACTTCGAAGTCCTTATCTTTTTTTTTGTCCTAAGGATGCCTTTACCCTTCTCTCAGACGGCGCATCCTGACAGCCAGGATCCAGTTGAGAATGTAATAAAGAGCTTACAATTTATGACACCTTTCCAGGAGTGCCAGCATTTTGCAGGCAAGAAAAGGAGTCATCCTTGTCATCTGCTAGAGAATGAGAGGGGGAGCAGAAGTCTCATGGTGGAGTTCAAAGGTAAACTGTTGGCACCTGTTGATTGCCATCTGTCATCTGTGCATATTTTATAATTTTCGGTTTTTGGTCGAAAACAATGTCTGGATTTGTTGGCCGACAATTGGGTAAGCTCTCGGGCTTAGAAATAAAAGAAGACATTTCCAGTCCCTGAGCTAATAACATAATCTAGTGGGATATAAAAGGTATAACTATTCGGGCTGTCTCTCGAATTAATTTCATTATTCGTTGCCTTTCCTCTGGCGTCCTTGGGCCCTTTTCTGTCAGTTTAATTTGCTGGAAAATTGCATGGGGCAGCTAATTAGGTTTTTTGGCAAGGCAGGATAAATTATTTGACAGGTGCTGCCCCCGTTTGACCTATCCACCAACGCTATGTTGCCCCTCTTCCTTTTTTTTTGCCTTCCATGTTATTGTGTCAACGTCTTCATTTGATTGTTTTCATTTGTTTCGGTTTGTTTGTGCGATTGCGTGTTTGGCTGTGGTGGGTGCCCCAAATTGTGGCATTGACATTCGCCGGAAGCCAAGGAAAAACATTTGCCGACGGCTTCTGCCCAGCCCGACACTTCTGTCTGGCATTTGTAAATCAGTTTTTCACCCGCGGTCCGAGCCTCAATTTTATTGTTGACTTGCCAACTCAAATCAATAAGGCTCTCCCACACACACATGTGAATTCAATTAAAGTTGAAAAAGTTGCATATGCTACGATTTAAACTTTCTGATAGGATAAATTCGAACAAAAGAAATTCTATAAATCATGTAATAATGTTAAATGTTTGCGTTTTCCTGCAATTGAAAGTGCAAATTGCTTTTGAAGTGAAGTTTTTGTTTCAGAGCAGATTATTTGGCATTTAAAATCAAAGTCTCACATAGCTTTTATCAGCTCGCTTTAGTATTTATACTTAAAAGATAAATAATAAATATTTAAATCGAATTTAAAGGCAATTAAATTACCTAAGGTGAATGGTGAATGTGTCAAAATGTGTCCTTAATGCAATTACAACACTTTCTTGGCAACAGGTCTTATCATTTCTTACCTAAATGCATTTTTTTTTCTTGTCAAATCCAAGCAGATAAGATTTCACTTAGGTGATTTAAAAAAATATTATTTATCTGTAGTTACACTAGTTAACAAATTTCTGACGCTACCTTTTTGAAATCATAAACATAAGTTTAATGACTGAAATAATAAAGACTTGTTAAAGATAACAATTTAAAAACTAAAGCCAAGGTCAACCCAATCTTAATCGTGTTATCATTGAGGTAGAGATTATGTATGCAAAGATAACGATCCTATATAAAAGCCAAAATAAATTTGCCATTGTAGTTCTTATTTTGTTACCATCGAAACCGCGCAGAAGTTAGAAACAAGCTTACGATGGCCTCCAATACCAAGGATGGTATCACCATACGGATTATGACAGAGGAGGACTACAAAGCCGTAAAATCACAGATGGAGGGCGACTTCTTCTCTTCAGAACCCTTGTGCCAGTCTAGTGGCGAGTGCCTCGTAGGGCAAAATGAGAAGAAAAAGAACGATAGCCATCTGTCGATGATCGCCCAGGGCACCTGTCTGGTGGCCTTTGACGAGAACGACGGCGGACGATTGGTAGGATTCGTTCTGGCCGGAGCTCAGTTTCCCGAAGATGTAGAGAAGCATCGCATTAAAGCCGAGGCCATGGAACAAAATGCATGGCGTCGCATCGCCGTCTTGCTCTCTAAAATTGAACGTGAAGCCAATGTCTTTGAACGCTTTGGCATCTCGAAAGTTCTCTACTCCCACTTTACGAGTGTGGATGCATCGATGAGGGGTAAAGGACTCGGCTCCCGACTAGCTGACACTTTGATGGACGTCGGCCGATCTAAAGGGTTTCCTGCGATGGTGGCCTACTGCACTAGTTTCTACTCCGCCCGTCAGAAGGAGGCACTGGGGATGCAGTGCATCCACTCCCTGGTCTACGCTGACTACAAAGATGCAAATGGCAAACCGATCTTCACACCAGCTGTACCCCACACCATGGCTCGAGTTATGGCCATAAAACTATGACGATAGTTAGTTCAAAATCTCACATATCTTTTTTTAGCCACTTTAATATTTATGCTTAATAAGTAAATAATAAATATTTAAATCGAATTTACAGGCAATTAAATTACCTAAGCCTGGTGAATGTGTCAAAATGAATTCCACAATGTATAAACATCAGATTAATTAATGCAATTTCCGATGCTTTGTTGTAGTTCTGCCTCACCTGTTGGCATTATTTATGCAAATTGACATGGATACCGAACGTTGGCAACGGATGTGTGTGATAGGCGGAAACGGATGACAAATGTTCTAATAACCTTACTTTTGCAACATGTGCAAATATATTGGCTTTAACTTTGAGTTCTTGACGTCACTGATTCGCTATATTTGGCTTAACCAAAGTGCAGAGTCTGAAATAACCAACTAAGATATGAAAAATTTAAAAACTTCCTGAGTAACATCTCTGGCTAAAAGGATAGTTTTCATTGCGGCCACTGGGTACAAGGAAAAACACTCGCAACTCAGTTTGCATAATGAATGACAAACTTTCGGAACAATTCCTTGGTTAAGTAGTGGAATATGGGAAGCAATGTATTGCGTCAGCTGAAAATACTGACACGGCAAGGAAGACCAATAACTGTTACTGGCGAATTCTGAATTAATTTGTATTTCTAAAAATATTTTGGCATTTTTTAAAAGGTAAATAAAGTTAAGCTCATCTTCTCTTCTGGGTGATAATATTTCATAGCATTTCATGATCATTAAAGCTGTAATTATTGATGGACTTAATGCGGAATGTCAATATCCAACAAACCGAGTTGTATCTTTTCATTAAAAAGCATGAAAATGAACATGTTTACATATCCCTTACACATGTTAATATTATGCAAAGTTTCCCCTTTGAAATATATTTAATTCGTATAATTATTTATGCATTTCAACAGCATTCAGATTATCTTTAAATATTTACACATGTCAGAGACAATACGTTATGGTAAGCTGCTGAGGAAAGTATTTTATGGGATATTTTTCAGCATCACTGCAAAGTCCCTGGGCAGATTGTCATCTAGTGGGGGCGTGCCCAATCTGTCATGCGAAATGTTGTTTAAATTACTTGACTCCTGTCTTGTAATTTCATCTGATTGCCCCACTTCCGCTGTCACTTCTTTCTCTTTGTTAGCCATATGTCATTAAAGTTAACGCCATGCTGTGGCACGCCCACAAATTCTATAATTTGGCTCTATCAAATGACGGCAATCTTTATGTGACTTCTCGTGTGGGTTCGTTTTTCGTTTTGTGTCAGGTAATGAAAATGTTGCGCCAACTTGGCAGATCCTTAATTTACTCCCTCACTTATAGTAAAATTCCGTTCTAATGTTTAATTTTTTTTGCACCCTAACAAAAACCATTAAAATATCTAACGAATGGGGTCTAAAAAACCCTTACCACAAATCATAGAAAAGGGCTGAAAATTGGTTGGGTGAAAGCAACTCGGGCACTTTTTTCTTATACCGCCTTGAAGAGTTGTAAAAAGGTTATAGGCCAGACTATACTAACACAGCCGAAAGAAAGTTGATTGACAATTATTGATATTTTATGAGTTTTGTTTAACAAAGTGCCTGATGTCCTTTTGATATGGGTGACAGGGGTCTTGTGTTGACATTAAGCGTACATCGATTGTACTATAGGAAAAAGCGGCAGTGAGTACTCGGTGACTTCTGCGTCTTGACTTTTGAAAATATAGGAAAAATTTATGTTTTCCTTTCTTGTATCAGTTTCACCCAGATATCAAATATTGAGGAAGAAATCTTTAATTTCTTTTACAATGCTGAAGAGATATGGTTCCTTTATTTTCCTTTAGATTAAACTTTCAAATAGTTTTGATTTTCAATGATCTTTTACTTGCTTTTCATAAACTTACCTGTAGCTTAAAAGCAAAACGCGCTCACTTAACCGCTTTTTTCTTTAAATTTCAAATCGAAATTCAATGAGTCTGCATACAAATTCTCTTCAAAATGCTACCACTGATTTAACTGGATTTGTTCATTCCACAATGTCCGCAATTCAACGGAAAAGTGCTTCAAAAAGTTTTTCAATTAAGTTGGGAATTCGGTTGACAGAGAGCGCACAAAAGTATGCCACGCTTTATGCACCTTAAAAATTGACTTAATGATTGACAACTGGAAAAACGCGAAACTAAAGATAACACGAATTGAAGTTGAAAACTTGGTTTTTTGAAACTGTTGAAAACTGTTAGCCGTTGCAAGGTTGATTGCTTGGTGGTAAGTTGAGATTCCTTCGAAGCGCGCCGAACGAATGCAATGGCCACGAGGCCAACGACTTGTTTTATAGCCAGCAGTAAAAGCCGAATTCCTCCCGAAACGCTACGAAGTTGATAATGTCGGCATATTCAGTTCAACTTCAACTGGTTGCTCCTGTTGATTCTTCAACCGAAAGCTTTCCCAACTAACCGGCTGCCAGAGGTTCAAGTCTTGACTAATGGAGAATACTTTGCCGCCCACGCAATTTTTATATCTATTACTTGGGAAATTAAGATGGGAATGTTGGGTTCTTATGAAGAAGATAGGTGGAAGATAGAAATTTTTTTAAATTATAATAATAAATGTTGTATTTATGGCTTTAAATGTTACACAATTTTAAAACTCCGTGATAGTTTAACTTGCAATAAATATTTAAGTATTTAAACTTAATGACACTCAAGTTTGAGTGGCAGTTAGTTGGGCTGTTAGGCAGCCCATTTTTCTTACCAGACAGTGATTAGAGGGTATCCCAAAGTCCATTCCCTTAACTTAACCTTTTCTTTCTGTTTATTGTCCTGACTGCTGTGACGTCAGCGGGTCGGGGACGCGTTGATTTAAAGCTGTGCTAGCTGCCTGCCATTCGCTGAAATCGGAATTGGCCAAGTTGTTGTAGAGCTTGTTGCTGTAGAGCTGGTCACCTACGCACACATATCGGTAGGCGGCGCCTACGCCAGGATACCCAAAGCTGCGAAGGATATAGATAGTCAGGCATTTTGGCCTTTATTCGTTCATATTTGTAGTCAGGATTTAATCTAGCATTTGGGTTTCCTACTTCTACGACCAATGGATTGGTTGTCCCCTTCTCGAATTTCCATTTTTGCAGCTGTATTTACATTTCACTTTTGACATTCTGACTGTTAATGAGCGTTGAAATCGCTTAAAATGAAAAACAATACGCTGTTAAGTTATATGACTTTGGGTTTATTGAAAATGTGTTATGCTTTTTATCAGAAATGCAAGTTTAATAACAACAAAAGGATAATAAATATGCTGAAAATCTCCGAAGATACAACTGATTATTATCACGAATTGTATTTAACTTTATTCCGTAATAATTCAACGACTTGTTCGACACTTTCTTGGCAACGGGTATTATCACGTCTTATCTATATGCATTTCTTTTTCTTTTTAAACTCAATCAGATAAGATTTCACTTCAAATTTTCAACAGTATTGTTTTTTAGGTGATAAGACTTAACAAAAATTATTATTTATCTGTATTTACACTAGTTAACAAATCTCTAACGCTGCCTTTTTTGAAATCATAAGAAAAATAACAATTTAAAAACTAAGGTCAAGATCGTACTATCATTGAGGTAGGATTTTGTATGCAAGTGTTTATTGACAACCGTGAAGATAACGATCCTATATAAAAGCCAAAAGAGGTTTACCATTGCAGTTCTTATTTTGCTACCAACGAAACCGCGCAGAAGTTAGAAACAAGCTTACGATGGCCTCCAATACCAAGGATGGTATCACCATACGGATTATGACAGAGGAGGACTACAAAGCCGTAAAATCACAGATGGAGGGCGACTTCTTCTCTTCAGAACCCTTGTGCCAGTCTAGTGGCGAGTGCCTCGTCGGGCAAAATGAGAAGGAAAACGACGAGTACCATCTGTCGATGATCGCCCAGGGCACCTGTCTGGTGGCCTTTGACGAGAACGACGGTGGACGATTGGTAGGATTCGTACTGGCCGGAGCTCAGTTTCCCGAAGATGTAGAAAAGCATCGCATTGAGGCCGATGCCATGGAGCAACATGCATGGGGTCGCATCGCCGTCTTACTCTCTAAGATTGAACGTGAAGCCAATCTCTTTGAACGCTTTGGCATCTCGAAAGTACTCTACTCCCACATTACGAGTGTGGATGCTTCGATGAGGGGCAAAGGACTCGGCTCCCGACTAGCTGACACTTTGATGGACGTCGGCCGATCTAAAGGGTTTCCTGCGATGGTGGCCTACTGCACTAGTTTCTACTCCGCCCGTCAGAAGGAGGCACTGGGGATGCAGTGCATCCACTCCCTGGTGTACGCTGACTACAAAGATGCAAATGGCAAACCGATCTTCGCACCAGCTGCACCCCACACCATGGCTCGAGTTATGGCCATAAAACTATGACGATAGTTAGTTCATAAACTTTAAGTATATTTTTGTACACGCATAAAGATTGTTATACACTAGGCAAATCCCTCCTAATTACGATATAGTTATCAGTACAGTATAAAGCCAAATTGGTAGATCTATGCACTTTAGTTCCTAACTAACCGGCAAGAAGTGTCGACCAAACTAAGATCGCAATCATGGTGGCGTCCAAAGATGGAATTATGATACGCACTATGAACCAGGCGGATTATAAAAATGTGAAATTATTTATGCGAAAAAACTACTACGAGTCTTAGCCTTTGTGCCAATCCTGCGGGGAAGACGTCCACCTGCAAAATTTGACGGAGAACGAAAAGATTCATAGGTCGATGATAGCTCAGGGTACCTGTTTGGTGGCCCTCGACGAAAGCAACGGTGGGCGGCTAGTGGGTTTTGTCCTAGCTGGAGCCCAGTATCCGGAGGATCTGGAAAAGCATCGCATTGAGGCGGAAACCATAGAAAAGCATGCATGGGGCCGCATGACCGTCCTGCTCTCTGAAATTGAACGGGAAGCGAATCTCTTCGAGCGTTTTGGCATCTCAAAAGCTCTTTACTCTGATATTACCTGTGTGGCTACTTCCATGAGGGGCAAAGGACTTGGATCCCGACTAGTTGGCACTTTGATGGACGTTGGCCGTTCCAAAGGATTTCCTGCAATGGTGGCCTACTGTACCAGCTTCTACTCCGCCCGTCAGAAGGCGGCACTGGGGATGCAGTGCGTCCACTCTTGGGCTTACGCCGACTACAAGGGCGCTGATGGTAAGCCCATCTTCACACCCCCAGAACCACACACAATGCTGCGTATCATGGCAATTAAACTATGAGCTTATCAGTGGATATCCATTTAGTTGATTTCTTAGCTGATTAAAATAAAAACCAAAAAAAATCAAAATGTGATTATCAGCAATTAAGATTTTGGCTATTAAAATATGATTTGCTCAAGTTGATTAAAAGTTAAACAATCTTATGGTTAATTTAAAACTAAATAAAGTTAAATAAATCCTATTTGAATAAATTATAAAACCAAGTATAATTTTACTTATTTTCTTAAACTTTCTCCTTTTTATGCGTTAGAAAATGTTTCAAATATCTTGGACACCCTGTGCAGGTGGATGTCAAACTGTACAAATATTTTACATGACATTTTATTTACATATTTGCGACTTTTTGGAGTATTAGGTTTAGCTTTATACACAAGCTTTCCGTTGGTTAAAGCTGCATTTCAATTTTTTCAACTACTTAAGCTTTAAGGTCTTAGAAAAGTTTTTTTTAATTTCAAAACCGTTAAATGCCATAAGTAACTCTATTACGTATTTAGTAAAAAAGCGAAGGTGTATAAAACTGTAAGTTGAATTGTTGGCAAACATAAATAAAAAACAAACAAAAAGACTATAAGATACCCGTTACTGTTTTGCACAATTTTAAAAAATACTCATTTTGCTAGTGGAAATTTACAAGGCGCCACCTATTGTCGGAGTAAGAATGTCGAGTATAGTGATAGTGACGTCACTGCCCAGGCGAGGCCTTTATAACTTAAATTTCTTCATAAAAAGCAAAATAATGATCCGATTTGAAAAATCTTTGGTAAATCGATAGATATTAACAGAAATAAGTTATACATACGCCACATTTTTCCGCGTTTTGTGGGCGTTAGAGTGGGCGTGGCCCGATGCAACTTCCTGGCAAGTTGCAGAGGCATCTCTTAAATACGTATTCTTAAGCAAAACTTTGTAGCTCTTGTTGTTTTTGAGATTTTTGAATTTTTGGATTTTCGGGTTTTGTGGGCGTTAGAGTGGACGTGGCTTGATCGGAAAAACAATTCGCATTTGGGGCATCATAAAAACCTACATGCTTAATCCGAACTTTCAATCTCTCATAGTTACCGAGATATCAGCTTTTCTAGAAAATCCGAAAACCGTCTTTTGAGCCTTGTGGGCGTATGGGTGGGTGTGGCTGGATAGTACCACTATAAGATGCGCTGGCATCCAAAGTTTATGCATACTAAATTTCAACTTTCTAGCTCAAATAGTTCTGAGATTTCAGAAATTCTAGTTTTTTGCGATTTGTGGGCTAGGAGTGGGCTTGGCAGGATGCTGTAATAAACTTGCTCTGCATAGGGACCTCAATAATCTTCATGGTTAATCTCAACTTAGTATCTCTTAAAGTTCCTGAGATCTCAGCGTTCATACGGACAGACGGACATGGCTCATTCGTCTTCGCTATTGATCCTGATCAAGAATATATACACTTTATACGGTCAGAAACGCTTCCATCTGTTACATACTTTTCAACGAATCTAGTATACCCTTTTACTCTACGAGTAACGGGTAGAAAAATAAATAATTATAATAATATAATAATTTTATATTCCTTAGAAATTTGATAAATATTTAAAAAAATGATTTAAAAAAGTTTCAAGGTTATTTACTGGTAACCATAAAACTATTTCTCAGAAGATATAAATATTTAGGCAATTCATTTCACCATTAACCGGTAGTGGGTGAAGTGTTTTTTGTATGTGAACAATATTTACACATTTTACGCCCGCCCACCCTCAGCCAACAACTGAACAAAAAAACACTCAAAGGCCGACGCATATCAATTAAATACTTCAAGCCATCGACCATTACTTGACGGCTCAATTAGCCAAAGGCCCCCGGACCAGGGGCCACCTCTCGATGATCATGGGAAGAAGGTGTGAAAAATCACTTGGAAGCGGGATTAATTGAAAACCCATCTGAGGTCCCCAATGGTTATCCAGATAGCCAGGATGGGGTCCACGTCGTTAACTATGATTTGCTGGCCGTGCAACAGGCAAAAGCCTAGTTACGTGCCCCATTCCCGTCGATGTTCCTGCTGACTTGGAAGACCCCCAAATGGATAATGATAATTTCGCATGACGCTTTCCGCTCGACTGGAGCTGTTGTAAAATTTTATCGCCAAAACATGACGGGCAAATCAATTTTTATTATTTTATCATCATCGACGCCTGCTTAAGAGCTGCTTAAGGAATCGACTTGTTCCTTTTCTGCCAGTCCCACGAATCTATCTCATAACTAAGACCAATCATCATCATCAGGGGGGAGAGCGGGGGATGTAAGGAAATCTGGCGGGACAGCATCCTAGACGCCCGGCAGAACAATAGACTAACCACCACTCCGACCTCAACAATGCGCTAAATCATTATCAGTAATTATGCATTGTTCGCCCCCTGACAATGCAACTCATCTGGGAGGATATGCGGGGTCTCCTCCCTGCCTTTTGGTTGCACTTTTCCATTATTCTTGCTTTTCATATTTTTCATTTTCCCTTTTTTCCTTCTTCTCTTGTATTTTGATTGATTTCGCTGATTGCAGTTGGCCTTGAGCTGCCCTTGTTCTATTAATAGGCCCGCCAATCCCACCGAAGCTGCCGCCCCCAAACCTCATCAGGTGGTTCTTTCAAACACCTCAACTCTGCTCGGAGCTGCATAATTTATGAGCTTCGAGCAAACGTTTTATGCAATTAAACAAGCTGCTAATGCGATTTGCAGATACGTCAAATAAAACACAGTTATGGCAAAGGAAAACAGGGGGCCAAGATGTGCTGTCTTATTTGGCAAGTAATTTCCAAATTAAGTGATAACGCACATCATGGGGGCCAAAACTGGAGGAGATGCGGCTCATAAATCACTCAACTGTTGCTTGGTTGGTGTATTTGCTAAGGATTCTCATGGAGGGGCGGTAAAGCAAGCCAAAAAGATGGAAAGCCTTTAAAAGGCTAGAGTACTATGGCCAAAAGCTAAATAATAATAATAGGTTGCAGGAGCAGGCGGTAAAGTTCTATTGATTTCAATACTAAAAATGAAAGTGAAAAGGCCTAGCAAAAATAATTTAATAAAAGTGTATAAAAGAAACTAAGTTTTTGTTTTATTATCAAACTTATTAAGCTCTGAAAATATTAGTAAACTTCTTTTAATTTCCTTTAAAAACCCAATAAATATTATTCAAAAACTTTTTCTTTAGTGCACCGTTGACGTTCCTGTGTAATAAATTAAACTGCATTTGGCTATTTTTGTGGTCATTAGGCACGACTGCAGTTTGTCTGTTTTTGGTCTTGGGCCTATAACCGATGGCCCAGCATCTCCGCCGATTGTCTCCCAGTTGCTGGCCAGAACCGTAGGACCTAAAGCCTTGTTGGCCACTATCTGCCACAAGTTTTAATGAAGTCTCGCCTAAAGTTCTACATGTCTGCTGGTGATGCGAAGGTAAGCTGAGTTATGCCCCGGCAGTCTTCATGTGGAAATGGCATTATGAGTTATGTGTCTGTGGTTCCGCGGAGGATGGCTTAATTTCTCGTCATCGTCCTCGTCATCGTCATCTCCCTTGCGAAATTTCTCCCACAGAGTGCCTTGCAGTTCAATTAACATAATTAATGTGCGCGACTGTCTGGTTGGTTGGCTGGTTGGTTGGTTAACTTGGTTGAATATTTTTGGATCGGTTTACGTATTGTTACAACTCAATTTGAGTAGCTTGCACCTCTGACACCTCTCTTAATGAACAATTAACTGGAACAGGGCTTTAAGCCATTTCGGACAGGCACAGTGGACTAGTAACGAACATGGGAAATAATTCATTTCTGGTTTTACCCGAGGTCTAATTGTTTTGCCACCTACTTAATGATTCGGTTGTAATGGCATTTTCTCATTAACTCAATATAATCATGGTTGGTTTTATTCTTCAGATCTTCTCACAGTTTCAAGTAGTTGCTTCTGTTATAAGTTTTGGTTTTTTATTACATTGTTAATAGACAGCTCAAGGTCTTTGTGGTTATCAAAAAGTACAAAGACTTTGCTGATTAGGAGTCTTCCGCCAGTTTAATCCATAACCAACTTGGGAGTTTTTATGAATATTCTCTTTAACTTGTATTGTCTTAGAATAGAAAACTAAAAAGTATATATTTTATTTATATTTTTTGAATTGTTTTAGTAAGTCCTCAAAATAAAACAAAGTTTTACGTCTCCCACACATGGAAATCTTATCAAACAGTTTTGAGTGCTTTTATAGATTTCTAAAAATAGTTCTTCATGTACCTCTTAACCTCAGGGAACCTCTTACTATTCATAAACTTTTTAAGGCATGCAAACAAATTTTTTTTGTTTTACTAAGAAAGTTTGAATCACTCTAAGCAGTCAGGACCACGGCTAATGCATGTTATAAAGTTTTATTCGCCACTCTCCAGATGCTTGGGAAGTTTTATGACGGATTTTCAGGCTCCTAGCCAGGGCTCTAAAAAGTGACAGTTGAGCATGTTTAGCTGCCGTTAGGTGGGCATATTAAATGACTCCTGGCGGGTTAATAATCTCCTTCATGCCCGGGCCATTTGTCAGTTTTGGATTTCACATATTTCGGGTAGGGTGGTCCCCAGAACCTTTCCCACCGTTTCCCTCACAGATCCCCAACCAAGTGCACTTGAGAAACAATTTCAGATTGCACTCAAAGCTAAATGGGCGCTCAAAAAGGTGACGATGGGTTTAAGCAGCCAAGCGGACATGTGTGAAATATGATATGCTCATTAAGGCTCTTGGTCTGGTCTTTTTAACATCCAGCCAACCAACAGCCACGCCTCCTTTTGCCCCCTAGCCGCCCAAGGCGCCACGCAAGTCAAGTGCATAAATAAACGACTGGCTGCCTCTTAATGAGAAAGATGACGAGGGTGATGCGGCGTACACCTGCCGCCCGTCTGCGTTTGTGATATATCATCCGGCTGCCGGTACGCAGGCAAGGACACCTGACAGAGCCCCCACCTCGCACGCCCACCTAGCCACCCATATAGCAGTCTGTTATAGCCACCCATCTAGCCACCCATCCAACCACCCAGTCATCCACTCAACCACAGGGCTTTGAGTGAGAAATATAAAGCAGTGGGACAGGCGGGAATTTGACTTTCAGTTTTGACTGGCTTTCACGGCTCCTTCTAGTTGGCATTTCGCACTTTTACGCATCTGATTGATACTCCAATTATGCTGGGAATTCTTGAATTTAAAGATTCGTTAGATAAAGAGAAGATCATTTGCACTGAAGGAAAAAGAGATTGGTTGGTTGTCTTCTCAAAAATTAAAAAAATGAACCGAAAAAGATAAAAGAACCTACCTACATTTGGCCATAAAAATAGTTCAATCGCCTTGAAAAACACTTTCTTGTCCGATCATTTGAGAAGAGTATATCAATCTCACTGTATCCCACTTCAGTTGGGCATTCTGGTTTCCTTCTCTCTCATTTTGGCTTAGTAAGTTTGTTGTTACAGTGCGTGGTCAATCGGCATAATAAATCATTATAACGCCCACTGGAGCCCAAAACTGCGATCACCGATTAATTCATCATCGGCAGAGGGCCAGAAGACGAGGAGGGAAATAAGTGGATAAAGCGACTTGGACAAGATCAGCGGTGGAAACAATGCGTCGTCGATGTAGTCGTCGTCATTATTGGCGTGCCCAAAAGTCGCCTTGGGGTCAGGGTCGGGTTTGGATCGGGTTCTCGGGTTCGTCGGGGTCTATTGACGCCACTCAAGCGCCGAAGGGGAAGCTTATTTAAAAACTAATAGAGATTTAATCTGTTTGACTTAGCAATGAAGTCATTTAGAATGTAAATATTGAACAGAGCAAAGATCGTTACGGCAATGTTCTTGAATAGAGAGTTACGACTACGAAATAGAGTAGAACCTGAGAAGGGAGGGAACCTTATTTAAAAATAGAACTAATAGTTCACCATTAATGGGATTTAAATTAAGAAAGCTGTATACAAAATGATATTGGAAACCCTAGGGTCATTGACTCAACCTCAAAGTTTCCTTTTTGTCATCAAACCACTCATTACATCCGATACTATCGCCACTTCCTCAATTGCAGTTCTTATCCAATACCGATTGCATTCGAGAAAAAGCACTCCCCCGTTCAAGTGGATTATGTTTCCTTTTTGCATTTCCCAACCATTATTATGATATACCTTAAGGCACCTGTTGAACTCACACCCGTGGCAATATTATTTACCTACATCTCAATCTCCATCTCAGCCATAATCATAATATTTACACCTTTCTCCATCGCTCTTGTGCGTTGTTGGCTTCCGCTCGATGGTCGATGGAGGAAACAGGATTACTCAAATGCAAATCAATTGTAAATACAAATAGAAAATCTGCCTGAAAGCAGTGGAGCAAAAGGTAAACTTTATTATAAATAAAAGAAAAACACCGTTAACAACGGCAACAATACACCCACAGGGAAATCGTAGAAAAATTGCAAACGAAGATACACCTGGGAAAATGCTGAATTTGATTTGATTTTTAATATATTTTAAGGTTTTTCATATATATATTTATCTACCTTTTTAAAGAATTATCAAGAATATCAAGAAGAGCTTTAGCATATTCTCTGCCTTTTCCATGCTGCAACTTCGTTGTTACCCAATTTTTCTTGCAGTTCTTCTTTTCTTAAACTTACAACTAGAAACCTTGCGTTTGTCTTGGTCTGGTGTGAATTTATTGCTTAATCATGCGCCTTTAAAGCAGCACAGCTGAAATGTAAATAAAATGCAAAGGCAGTTGGGTTACCCAGAGGGTTTTGGGTACGGTTTTAACAAGGTGAGTGCTTGTCTAACTGGACGCGCTCCGTTTTATTTGCTGGCCATATTCTACGGGATTTTCCTGGTAGGTGTGGTGGTAGCAAAAGGTGTAAAGAGCGACAGGAGAGAAAAAAGAAAACCTAGTAAATTTGTGGCTGCAGCTCTGTGTCGTTTGTTTTATTCGCCGGGTGGACGTGGGCGATGGGTAAACGCTGCAATTAATATGAGGCACATGGAACACGAGCGGCAGCTGCACCACCAGCAGCAGCAACTTGTACAGCAGCAGCAGCTCTAACTTGCACAGCAGCAACAGCTGGCCCACCCACAACTTGCAACACGCAACATGTTCGATTCGAACTCATGGCCGCCAAGCAAACTGCGAACTTAAAGCTTACCTTTCAGTCTAAAAACGAGTTTCACCGCGTTCGGCTGCCGACTCGCTCAATTTTGAATTTTCAATTTTTTGGACTGGCCCACTAAAAAAACAAAACAAAACAAAAACAACGCCTCATTGCGCCCCATTAAACAAATGCTAAATTAGTACGTTGTGTAAAAAAAAGGTGTAATACCATTATCTTGTCGGAATTTTTCCTACCGCAAACCCCATTTATTTGTGTTAGTTTTAACCTGATTATTTACGTAAATTACCGCCGTGTTTGGTGTAAAAATAATAATTTTTCGAAAAATCTTCTCACCCAAAAGTGCAGTGTGTGTTTGTTTGTGCTGGAAATCGAAATCGTTTGTAGAACGGTAACAGGTAACAGGTAACAGGTAAAACAACAACAACAAAACAAATCAACAAGCCAGCGAACGATGTCGGTTAATAAAACCATTGAAATGAAGTTAAAGTTGCTCCCGAGCTGCATACAAATGCTGCTGTAAATAAGAAAACAAACATTTGCCAGCTGGTAAGTTTCAATTGCCTTTTGGGCTTTCGTTAAGGTCGGGTTGGCGGTGTTGACCAGATGTGGAATAAATCATAATTAGAGAGGGTTTGCATTTCGAATTGGGTTATGGGTACAACGGAAACTTAACTGTGGGAAACTCAGTAAATTATCTTTATTTATTTGGTTTATTTTGAACTGTGTTAATTGTGGCTTAGTGTTGGCTTTGTATACTTATCGCATTAGTGGGTTTAAGGGGCCTGAAAACTGCCTATATAATGGCTTAAGCAAATTTTGATTTTAGAACCGTAATTTTCCGGTTTTTATTTAGTAATTTTCAGCCAAACATCATGGTCTAGCTTAGAGCATTTCATCCATTTTATTTCTCTTTTAATTTTCCCTCTTCATTCTTGTTACTTTTGCTTTTTCTGCCAACATTTTAACAATTTCTAACGCGAAAAAGTTTGGGAGATAGAAAGTTTTTTATTATAAGTCAATTTCGGTTTGAAGTCAAGGCAGGTAAAAAGTGTAGCAAAGACTTTGCCAATACTTATGAGAATCATTTCAAAGTAAGTACTTTGTGGTCTTTTCAAAGCCGTTAGTTCAGGTTTTGGAATGAAGTTCCTTGACTCTCTCAGTACTGTTCTGTGTATTACCTATGAACTTAGTCCGCAAATTTGCAGGTTCTGTGGAAATTATTTCTTGACAGTTGCTAATAAACCTGCCTACTTCATGGGCACAGCTCGCAACGGTCATTACTCATGCCAAATCTTCTGTCACTTCACACCTTCTCCGGTTAATTCTACGGTCAACTTGTCAACACGCTGTGAAGTGGCCGTAGTCTGTGTGTGTGCGTTTCAGCTCTTAAGCCTTATGCAACAGCTCAAATTAGCCATGCAATTTGTACTTAACTATTTACCAGCGACTTGCAGCTCCGTACTTGGATCTTTGGGGAGGGGAGATTGGGTAATGGCTAGCTAGCTCCTCGAGAGCACACTCTACAGAGGCGGGAATGATAAAATGGCCAAGGACTTGAAGCGGACAAGCGACAAGTTTATCACTTGTTAAGCCAAAAGCTGCAGACATGCACCCAGCTTCATCCTGAATCTCTTTACCCATACTCCACCCTTGACTCCTATTCCTTGGCCATCTGGAGAGTATGCTTTGGGAATCCGACTCCAGACGACGTCGGCGTCGAGTGGCAGGCCAAGATGGGCGCGGCAGATAAGGAACTGGGCCCAGACCCAAAAGGCCAGACAAAGAATAGGGCGTTCTGGGTCCGATCCCATTTGCATGGCACTCGCTTGAAGTGGGCCACTCTAGAGCTTGGATGAAAGCGGATGTCAGAGCGAGTACACAGAGACACCCATTGAAGCCTTTGTAATCTAAAGCTGTTTATTCTTCTATGATTTGGATTCTCTGAACAAGCTATACTCTTTCCCAAGGCAGTTTTTTACAGTGTAACCTAAACCTAGTGCTTAGTAATAAACTCAGTTTTAACTTTTGTATGCAAATCCTTGTTTTGATTGTCCAAAATTCTTTGAGAACCATGTAAATAGATAAACAAAGATATAATAAACTACAAATATTTACTAGCAAATGATAACATTTCGGCTCATAACCAACTTGACCCTCTAGTTTGGAATAAGAAAGAGTTTTACCATCAATGAGCCATTACGAAAAACGTTGGCTATAATATTCATAATCCCAATTTTGAAGCCAAATGCTTGCCATTTTTGGTTATCTTTAGGCAGCTGGGACTTAAACTTAAATCCAACGAGATGGTCTCGACCTTTTTGGAAGTCGAGAGTCCCAGAGAATGGGATATCATCCTCAAACAGTCACCAAAAACAGAGGATTCCGCAGACGCAGCTGCTCCTCTTCCATTTGGGCCATTTAAATAATGGCTGAAAATGGTTGGGTGACAATAAAGAAGAGCGTTCGGCCGCAAGTGAAGAGTCTCAATAGAAAGCAGCCACCGACGGCTATAAATAGTTGGGAAAAAGAGTCAGGAAGCGAATGTCAACTCAAAAATTACGTATACGCAGACGTTGCTGCTCATCGATAGTGAGACTCGAGTTTGCTTTCGTTTCCGCTTTTGTATCGATTGTGTTGACTTTTCCATTTTCCAATTTTCATTTCAATGTTTGTCTGGGGCAGCGACAACGTTGTTTATGATCATTCAATTGACACGCCACCTGGCACTCTTCGAACTCTTCTGGGAATCTTGGCCTTTATTGAGGTCATGGCTGGTAATTGATTATGAGCTGGGTATTGCAGTTGAAAGTCAAACAAAAGGAAATCTCATTGTCAAGATCGACTAGACAGGAGATGGCATTGTTTTTGGTTTAACTTTTTGCAAAATTGCGTATCAATGTCAGTCAATTGCAGCTTCATTAGACTTTTGCTTTACATTTCCGTTTTAATTAAAGACTCTGCCTATGAATGTCAAAGTCTATGCAGACGTTATGAATGTGCAAATATGTCAACAAATTTTCCATCAGCTTGCAAGTAATGAGAAAGTGAATTAGAAATGTTTCTTACACTCAAAATAATTAGTAGCAATTATGAATTTGGAAAAGAGAGCCGATTAAGGATGTTTAACTGGATGGATTTTAAACAACTTTTATCTTATTTAAATAATAAAAATATAGCAAATAGCTATAACTTTTGTTTCAAGTGCATAGCAGGAACCAATTAAGGGAAAGCAATCAGTTAATCTTGCGACTTTCCCAAGAGCCACTATTAAAATCCTCTATCAAATCATCCCACTTAATTCCCAAGAGCACTCTGTAATTAACTCTTACAAATCTATTAGAGAAAACTTTTCCTTAGAAGCTCAGGCAATTAGCATTATTAAAGTATTGTTTCGTTCTCACGGTAAGAGGATACTTTTCCTTCTTGTCAACCTGCAAGAACAGGTGGGTAAACAATGTTGGTCACTCCTTTGGCTTTGCCCGACGTCGTCACTTTGATTTGCACAAAGTATTTGCCGGGGACGACAAGAGCAACAATGGCAATCGCTTTTACGCAACTTTAATTAGCAGGGCAAACAAGCTGTCGTGGCACGCCAGAAGGTAAGGTTTTTCCTTTACCTTTGATTCAACTCCTGACCCCGCTGGCATGTCCTTTGGCCAGCCGTTGACAAACAAGGGGGGGGAGATGGAATAAAGGATAGGGCAGTGCAAATTGTGATACACAAAATATTCAAAATATACAAAGTCGGCGTTGAAATTTAATTAAAATGTTGCTGGCAAAAACCATTAACCTGTCGATATGTAAAATGTTTTAGCTTTTTGGGCAGATGCTGCGTATGCGCAATTTTTTGCCTATTACCAGCAATTAAAATGGCTATCTTATTAGGCAGCTAGCTAATTGAATTTTTGGTTCACCCCGGAGGCCTCTGACCTTTTTGCTTTTTTTTTTTAATATTTTCCTTTGCACGTGTCCTGCAAAATTGATAAGCCATAAATATTCGTTACGTCTGGAAGCAACAGTTTGGCCACGGAACGTAAACATAAAAGGGATGACATGCCCACAAACTTCCTTTTGGCCCCAATCTTTTCCCATATTTTTCTTCTTTTTTTGGGAGGTAAAGGAAAGGGTCTGTCCGCCTCAATTGTAACTCAAACAAGAAGCTTAACAATGAGCACGAAAACTTTTGTTCTTGCGAGAATCCATGTTACGCTTCATTAATTTAATGCTGTTTTCACAATAAATTTTCCTCCTTTCCATTTCGGTGTTTGGCAAAGAGCATTTCGGACACGCTTATGCTAATCCCAAAGAATTTACATTCCAATATTTCTTCATATTCTGGTTCCCTGAGAATTGATTTCCGGGATAAGAGGAGTCTTCTTGGGAATTCTAATAGGTTCACTTGCATAATTTTGAGGAATTTCTTGCTTTATTGTGAGTATTTATTATTATTTTACTATTTTCATTAGAAGTAAGGAAATGTTTTAAGAATTAAAGTGAATATAAATATCAAAGAAGTTAACAAAAAACCTTGTTAAAGATTATTTATACAGATTTAAAGTTACATCACTGCTTTAGTTGACCAAATTTCCATTTATTTTGCATGAGTTAACCCTTTTTAATAACGAATGCTCCTGGCGGGTTAAGCGGTGGGTTTGGGGTCGAGGTTTGTATCAAACGTTTTTCGTACTCCGCTTGACTGACTGCCTGTCACGATTTCCCTCAGAACTTATGACTGTGCCGGGCGAATGAAATGTATCAGGTAAACGAAAGACATTGCTAAAACATGAACTGAGCACACACACAAATGGTTGCGGGTGATGGGGCAGGAAGAACAACTTGTTCAAAATTGTATTAAGCGAACTCCAGCAGGATGTTTGGCGGAAGGGCCTTCTGGCCCTTCTATGAATATACATAGTGTACACTTTATTGGAGCGTGAGGCTATTGAGCCGTCATCCCAGTCCCGTGGACTTGGCACTCTGTCACGCTTTGATTGAGTTTACCGGGGGCTTTCCAGCTGCCATGGGGGTCCATCCATCAATATCAATGCTGCTGACCTCTTGGCAGCAAAACGTTGGCACATCTTCCGTGTTCTCTGAACTCGTTCAATCAACCTAAATGCATTGTTTTATTTATATCATAGATTATTTTAGCTACTAATAAATATTCTTCTTTGCTTAACAAAACTAATTAGTGGAAGTTAAACATACCAGCTTATTATAAGACTTTTTAGATAGTTGTTGTTTATAACTATAAAAGATATTAATCATCAGATCTAAGTAACTTAAAACCTAAGTTAAAAACTTTTCTGATCAAAATAACTCATATCGAAAGTCCTCGTTCCTACAAATTATGTTACAAAAATTCAGAATAAGCATTTATTCCGCCATCACTTGGACGACCCCTTCTAATGGCAGTTCAGACTGTGTGGCAAACTCGTGAGCCAAGTTGTTGGCCAAGTTGAGTTGCCTGCACTTGCAGTTCATTTGGCCAAAAGTTGGCATTCTCGATATTTGCTGGCTGCCTGCTGGCTGAATGTTTGGCAACA